TTTTGACATTTTTGTACATTGTATTTTGAACCTAAATATTCCAGTTGTATTTGTATTCCTTTGTAGTTCCAGTATTCTTCCCTATTAGATTAGCTCTTTTCCGAGCACAAAAATAAAAAGCAGATACCAACATCTGGTTTTGTACTAGCTTGAAAAACCCCTGGATTTCCCTACACTGATGCCATGACGCCCGCTCAAACATTTTTGTCCTAACCTTGAAGATACTGATCAATTTCAAATAATCAATTATCAGTCGTTTTTAAAAACAGACAATCTGCCATTGCTGACTTTGCTTTATCAACCTGAGTGTTTTTTTACCTGAAAATATCTAAAAGAAAAAGAAAATAAAGAAAATGCAAACACATTATGCAATCTAATTTCGTTCTTTTAAAGATAAGATTAACCAACACTGCCTGCCACCTATTCCTATAAGTAAAATTTCCTCAGCATGTAAAAAAATAAACTGTAAAAATGAACGTGAAATGGTGGTGAACTCACGTTTGGGTGACATCAGAGGGGGTGAGGCGATGGCGGGGGAGAGCGCGGTGGGGGAGTTCAGCCTCTCGTCACTGAAGCTGAAGCTGTTTCTGTTCAGCGATTCTGCACCTGTCCGAAAGAAAGAAAGAAGGCAGAACAGGCTTAAGCTGAGGCCCCGTTTTTAAGCGAGCTGTCCCTGATGTGTGTCAGTGTGTAACCACTGCATTCTCTTCTAATGACAGCCCTCCCCAACGGCCCGCCAGGCACACACAGTACAAACATGCACGTGGCAAGTGTTCTCACACAGAAAACACAATATTAGGCAAAGTTTATGCGTTTTTCTGTTTATAAAGTCAGTATTTCTATTTGCCCTGTGCCTTACTAACCCTAAACCAGTGAATTGATGATATTAATTTGGAATCTAACTGCATAATGTTTCAGGCTGTAAAAGCAAATCAATCCAAGTTTTCCTCATTGGTTTATTTACAGCATAGCAAAGCGCTGTGATCATGCTCTGGTTTCTGTTTCTGCCCTCTTTTGTGCTCTCTGCACAGGCCTGATATACCGGCCCCGCTAATTCCTTCAGATCGCATTTCGGTTTGCCTGATAAGACAAGAAGCCGGACGGAAAACGTCCCCCCCCCCCTCTTACTCCATTTGTCGAAGGCTTCTTTTGTCATTCGCGCTCTCCAGCAGCGTGGTGGGTGTGACAGAAGGCAGAAGACAGGGCTAGCACTTAGAGCTATTTTTTTTTTACTCTGCTCTGCTGAGCTCCGGACAAACTCGCCGCCGTCTTAGATGTCAAGCACCCACTTATTCCCATCTTTCTGACTTTAACCTTCCCCCATCACTCAGCACCACACACACAAAGCCCAACATCTGTATTTGACTTGAACTCTCCGGGCTTCCTCTCGTATCCATCTCTGTCGTTCACCTATCTCCTCTCTTCTCCCCACGTATTGCTTCCTGCACGGCTCCCTTTCTTCCTCCCCTCAGAGACACACAAACACCCCCGGGGAGCTTTTTTTTTGTCATTTATCTGCCCGTTCATCGGCCCATCCATCCATCAGGCAGCGAGACAATAGGCCGAGCCTCCTCTGTTCATTAGACTGCCATGGAGAGGACACAGCTCAGGGCCGGAATCCCATCCCTCGCGTAAATCAACAAGCCCATTAGTGTCATAGACACATATTCCGACACCTTTCCTGGGTTTTTTTTATCTTATTTTATTTTATCCCTGTGTGATAACACTGTAGGGAGTAACTATCCCCTCACAAAACCACTGGAACTCTAGTTATTATGCAACTAGCAGACTGAGAGGAGAGATGAAAAAAAAAACTCTCTCTGCTCTTAAATGATTCCACAGCCTTCCCAGGGATCGTAGGAGCATAAAGCCCCTTTAACGCCTTCCTTTGGAAGTCCGAAACGACTCGCATGTGGGTGTGGAAACCATTTTTGCATAAGCGGGCCTCAAGGATACGCTTTTTTTCTGTGTGTGTCAGCATGTGAGGCCGGGCCGTTTGGCAGCCCGACCGGACCCGGCCCTCCAGCTCACTTCACGTCAGGGAAATATAGCTCATGATGGAGGGGGGGGGGGGGGCTTTGGGGAAGCAGGTTTATCTAAATATGCAGCAGCAGCTTAATCTGATAGCAGTATCTCTGCACACTGAGCTGAGCTGAATCGTTTGTTGAGGCACGCATGAGGTGATCGTTTATCAGTTCCTAAGCTGCTCTCCGGATGATAAGATCTGACACACTTGTAAAGATTTGGAAATTGGCTTTCGTTGCTGACACATGGCAATTGAAAATATAGGGGGAAAAAACAGTTTTCATGCGCTTTTCAACAAGATTGGAGGTCAAAATCACACTTGAACTTAATGTTAACTCCACATCTGAGTTGGGTGATAACTGCAATATTCAGGACTAATTTAAGTGACTCAACCAACAAAAACCTACAATCGGCTACAGTTGGTCTGATGAATGGAATGGACTGGAGAACAACAAAAAAACAAAAACAAAGCAGTCAGTTTTTACAGGGAAAAAGTAAAGTCTGAAAAGCAATTTTTCAGGACTGCTTTCAAATATGCAAAAAAAAAAACCTGACAACTTCAGACACAAAATCTAAATAAGTGAGGAGCCAATCCAAACTCCTGCAGGACATGGAGAGGAGTGGACACGTTTATGCCCACCAGGAGCAGCCATAGACGAGCAGAGAGAAACGTCCACGTTTGGTCGTTGCAGATCACAACAACTGGTCAATCGTCCCCCCCCACACACCTCCTAAAAAAACTAAATCACTCACTCTCTGAGTCGCTGATGCCGCTGTCGCTGACGCTGGCGCTGCTCCGCCTCTTCGCGGTCTTCAGGTGCTCGTCGTACCTGAAGTGGCGCTTCTCCACGGGCGACGTGAAGTCCTCGATGACGGCGTCGAACTCGCACAGCACGTCGCTCAGGTCCTCCTCCTTGATGAACTTGGCTGGAAGACAAGGAGCGACCTCAGCGGCGTCGCGATGCTGCGAGGGGCATTTCGGACTCGCGGATGTTATCCCGGAGCCAACGGTGGCAGGGGTGATAAAAAGCGAGGAGAAAGATTTGTCAAAAATACCTTGGGTTTTCAGCTTCGGGGACTTCATGATAACACTGGGTCGAGGATTATCCAGTAATCTTCTCAGAAGTCTGTTTGTTTTTCCTCAGTTTGGTGTCAGTGAACGCACCACGGGTCTGGGACTAATCCCTCTGTCCGGGGACCGCCGCTTTTTATAAGGAGCGCTTTTCGGTGGGGGCGGTGACAGCGGGAGAGGGGTGTGCGTGCGCGCGTGCGCGTGTCTGGGGCGGATTAAACTTTTCCAGGTTGAAGTTACACACCAGGCATCCCCCCCACTCCCACTCCCTCTCCCTCCCCATGCCCCATCGACGCCAGCTTCATAATAAGTGTGTTTGTAAACAGCTCCCATGTCGCCTGCCGGGCAGAGGAGAGTAATCGGGGGTATTTTTAAATCCCGATCCAACTGGTTTTCATCCTTTATCACCGGGCAGAGGATGACACAGAGCTGACTGACCACAAGCACCATCAGATCGTGTTCCATGTGAGATCTGGCTCATCTCTATGGTCACAAAACAATCATGGACCATCCTGTCCTCAACGGTAATACATGAACTTTTGACCATAAGCATATTTTTAGAAATGAGAAACACACAAACAATCAAAAAGAAACATCCGGAGCATTATTTTGGGGGCAAGTGGAGCTAGTGTCAGATCCCATTTGGTCCTCCTGAGCATGAAAGATATGAGATATGAAAGATATAAACTTCTTCTTTTCTTCTTTTTTTTTTTACATAAACGAGTTTCCTTCTAACTTCCATCTCCCCTCCTAACATTAGCCAGGTGATAGTCACATAATCACATTAGATATTAATTTCCCATGTTTACGGTAAAAGTATGTCTAAAATGACACTTAAATGGCCAATAAACTTCAACAGGACTTCTCATCTCGTTTTGTAGCATGTGATCTCCAGGATCTGCAGATGGAAGACCAGCAGAGGAGTTATGTCAGTGACAGGAAGATGTTTTTTCGAGCCGGAGCTTAAACCAAAGTGGGCCTGCAGTGATACCTGCTGGTGGAAAACCAGTGCTGCATGTGGTCCCAGCTCAGGGTTGAGCTGATGTTTTGCGAAGCTGGAAAAGGCACATGGCTGCTTCTTTCTATGTACCTTTTAAAATAGTTTGAAAATACTTTGTTGTATCTCGATGGTCCGATCATATATTGACGAACAACTGGCTTTTACTCAGCTCTGCCTATATGCCAACACTTGTTGGGCAAACCCTTCAGCCAGCCGATTTGCTTCTCTGTTGCAGGCAGTGAAGCCATGCTGAGACTTTAGCACCTTCACTGCCCAGATGAACATGATCAGCAAATGGGTAAACATAACATGTGTTAGCAGCTGCACGGGTCTGTTGACTCTTGGCCTCTAGGTGGTACTTGGCCTCGCCGGAGGTGCTAAAAGTAACACCTTTGAGAAACTGAGAATATCAAAGTTCAGAAGCAAACTTGAGTTACCACACCTCTCTTCAGTATGTCCATCATTGTACATTACTCAGCTTGATGCTGGATAAAAACAATATAAAGCGTTTTTATTAAAAAATAAATTACACAATTCATACTTACATATGTACATCTAATAATTTTCAACTGTTATCACACTTATTTGATAATAATAATAATAATAAAGTAGTTTTATAGATTCCTCATGCACTCTTAAGACTTATTTAAGTTGAGCAATATTTGAGAAGAAAAATAACCTCACCTTCCACTTTTTGTAATAAAAAAATGATTGCTTTTCCTTTTTTCACTTATTCGGACTATGAAATTCTGACTGAATGGATATATACGATGCACCAGTTTTAAAAATCCTAATTTATGTAGCCTTTCACGTCTTCATGGTAGCATTTGAGCTCTGACAGGGTCAGTTTGTAGTTTGTAGTTTGGCTGTATATGCAAAGTGGATGTGCTTGTTCCTGGAGCTAGACTGTAAATAGTTTTTAATGTGAGTTTGACAGCATGGCTGACCCTTCATTTGTCAGCCTATAAAGCATAGATATCCATCACTCAAAGTCACAGCCCAGTAACTCGACTCTCATGGTGATTGAACCCATCCAGGTTTGAGGGATGATGCGGATGAAGCGCGAGAAGATGGGAGGATAGATGTAGTTCTTCACATGGTCGTTGTTGTCTGAGTTTCCATTGAAGATCTAGATTTAATGGGAGATAGAGAAATTCTTTAGAATCGACACCTGTGAGATAACACTTCCAGAGAATTATGATTTCCATGTGTTTTTTTTCACCTTGACTGGCTGGTCCTCCTCGTCTGTGTAGCGTGTCCATTGTCTTCCATCGCTGCTGTACTGCAGAGTGTAAGTCATAACATACAGGTCCTTCCCAAAAGACCTGGCCCCCTGCGTTATGATGCCTGTGATCTTCTGAACCTTTTGGAGCTCCAGTTGAAGCCACTGGTTCATGTCATTGTTCTGCAGAAAACAGCACACAGAGATGCATCTGACACGCCTGACTTTCATTTTTGTCTACTGAACTCGTGATGTGGCTGTGTGTGTGCAGTGTGTGGGTAGTAGTTGTGATGCAAATTTCTTATGATTATGTATTCACCATTTAAGAATTCTTAATCTTACCTTGGTCCTCCATGCATTGATTGTGCCTTGTTTGTTGAGGCGACCAAGGGAGGGTTTCCAGGGTCCACCGTACCAGCTTGAGAGTGTGGAGCTGGCTGTGATCTGGTGGTCCTTGATGAAGCCACTTTCCATCCCCAGAGGCAATGAGCAGCCTAAGATAAGTATTTTGAAATTTTAAGGAGAACCAAGTTGATGGTGAGTTTACCAAGAGCCCTTTCGAACATGTTTTGCCTTACAGCCTTAAAAACGTAGTACTATGTTGATTTCTCATACCGTCAAGTTCACAGCCATATAACTCCATTCGGACCGTTGCTGCCCTATACCAAGTGATAGGATGGAACCTTATGTACCGCGCTATCACAGGAGGAAAGAAAGTATTTGTGGTTGTCACATAGGCCTCCCGGTTTCCTTGGAATACCTTGTTAAAGAGGAGACAACACACACACAGAGGAATTAGGAATGATGACACTTTTGTCTAATTTACATTGGGTGAGGGGTTCAAGATTCTCCAACCTTCCAGAAGTCCCTGCTGTCGCCCTTGTAGAAGATCCACTTTCGGCGGTCATTGCTGTATGAGATTGAGTACTTCTCCACAAACTGGGAATGGAACATCTGCTTGGCTCCCTGAGTGGCCACCTGGCTTATCACCACCGGCCGCTGAAAGTCTACCTGTACAGAGGTCCACCGGGCGCAGATCAAGAGCTGAACCCAGTCCCTTCCTTTGACCCTTCAACTTGGCTCTAACATCTAATTGGTAGGGGCAAAGTGACCCTTATATATTTGTGGTCTATAAAAGTGGTTATATAGCGGCTGAAATCACTGTCAATGCCCTGACTGAAAGTTTATGTGGATACTACGTCTTGATCATAAGAAAACAAGGGGCAACTTTTTCTTGCAAAACAAAGATGGAGGGCTGTATCATTTCCAATATGATTTATGGTCCCAGATACATCAGATTAGATGAGTGTTTTTGTAAAAAGGACAAATCAGCAATATATGTATAGCCAAGGTATGGCTTGTTTAATTAGTTTCTCTTGAATGTTTTTGCCAAAGAGGGAATTCGGACAGGTAGACAAAGTCTTCATAAACCACATATGAAGTTAGAGAACATACTTAGCATAATTAGTCATCTGCACCTCTTACCTGAAGCCAGCTGTGGTTCTTCTCTGTGCTCCATGCATTGTATGAACCCTGATTGTTAAGTCTGGCAAGATGGGGCTCCCAGTATCCTTCAAAGATCAAATGATTGTCACAAATTTTATTAATTCAGTATCTAGCTGCAATAATGTACCAATCTTGATAAAAGCAAATATATGTCTGTAGTCAAAACAAATGCAAGCTGATTTAAGACCGCAAAGTTACCTCTGGTGTTGATTGCTGTTATTTGGTTGTCTCTCACACTGTTGGACTGAAGACCCAGTGGACGGAAGCAATCTTGGGTCATTGAGACCATTTTCAAATAGTAGAGTACAACATGTCAGAGAAATAACTGAATCAGAATGTAAAGTATTGTATTTGTGGACTTTTTTTAATTCTACACACCATTATCTAGAACCAGAAAGAGGGTCTGCATGCCTTTCTGTTGGTTAAAACCAACTTCTGTTTCCAGTAGCCACAAGCCAGGTTTGGATGGATACATCTCCAGAGTTGCAAAGCTTCCTGCAAAATGAGAAATAGACGATGTGTTCTGATGCCGATACCAAAGACAATAAAAACATGAGCAGAATCGTGCTCTGCATTTTTCTTACCTGGCAGCAGGGGATACACAGCCTGTCTGTGGCTGTAGGCCGTTTTGTGAATAAATGTCTGTCCATGGAAGTTAATGCTTTGATAGTCTGTAGGTGAACCCATGTTTATCAGGTGCCAGCGCACTAACTGGTTGGTGTACATCCTCAGGCCCTTCAAGCTGTGTATAATTCCATTGATAGCTGTAGAAACAACAGACACAGTTAATTTATGTACTTTGGTCCAATGGCTGTGTTCTTTGGTTTCATGTAAGAATGTTTATTCAACATAATAAATTATTATTGTCTTTAAAAATGGGTTGATAATGATGTAAATTAGGCTGATTGAAGACTTTTTACAGTGGAACTTGAAATTCTCCATGTGGTTGGTATCCAGAGTTTTCTTGCGGCTCTTCCTTTGCAGCAGTTCAAAATGTTTGTTGTAGTACCAGCTCTTAGATTCGTCGAAGGTCATGAAAAGCAGCACAAACTCCCTCATGTCAGGTAACTTTTTATCCAATGTCCCTTCTCGACACACCAGCAAAGGCCCAATCAAGCCGGAGTGGATATCCCTCTCCTTCAGATTACAGAGACAGGAAGGTGTAACATCATTTTGTGGTTTTAATTTGATTTAAAGTTTAGAAGTTTGCGTTAAAATGTTTTCACTGACAGTAATTGAACAGTTTTATTTACTTTATATTTTGTGAACATAGATTTATACAGTTCCTTACATTCAACATGTACATTTATTTCATTCTCCTTAAATCTCTTTCGTCAATACTCACAGGATTGACACCTGAGTAGTAGGCCCAGGTCCGACACTGAGCCTCTCCTGGTGCAGGGCCAACCATAGAATTGACTTTCCACAAATATGTGTAGGTGGTGTTGGGTTGAACCATGTTGTCATATTGAAACCAGTACTCAGAGCCATCCTCATAGGATAAACCCTCAAACTGCTTTGTATAGGTTACCCCATTAGGGTGTATAGAGAATGGACGGTTGGCATTATTCCTGAACACCACCTAAAAGAAATTGACCAAAAAGAGACATATTGGAGCATGCATAATAATTTTTTGTTAGTGGAGGAGATCTGCCATGCTGGTGTCAATAAAGTACTGGAAAAAGGTGTTACTTTCATTTAATTGTCTTTTTGTGTCACCTTTGTAGAGGTGAGAATGAAGCCACAGGTGGAAAACGGTTCTGTTTAAATCTTACCATGATGCTTTGTCCAATTTCTGCCTTGATGACAGGCCCCAGGATACCTAGATGCTCATCCATCTCTCCACGTACGTCAGGAGTGTTGAAACTTGCATCCATGTAACCTCGGAACACCACCTTGGTGAATTTAGTTTCTCGACTGTTGAGTTGTGACTTTTCTTGCCTCCTGTACCAATAATAAATCCTTACTTTACCAAATGACATGTTCTGGTATTACAGGTTTTGATGATTTAAAGTAGTCATGTATCCTCTTCTTACATTAGTTATAAAACTTGTTTTTAATTTGGATCTTACCTCTGCCCATAGCCAGCATAGTCCCACTCAACCTCCTCTGCAGCAATGAAATAAGTCCTCACATTAGGGCCTGACATCTTCAAATAGTATTTGGTGGTCTCATCTAAATTTAGGTTCTTGATGTCTTCATGACTGCTGTATGGGTCTTTGTACATGACATACTCATATTCATTACCAGTCAAATCTTCCTCATTTGCTTCAAGATGATCTGGTTCATTTCCAGGAACATACAGCTGGTAGTCACTGAAATCAGGCCGGGGTACGCCAATGACCACATCCCACGCTTCTTCGTTAGAAACAGGCTGTGGGTCAAGTGGCCGTGAACCACGAGGGGTCATCCCTGGATTGAATCCACGAGGGGAAAAAGGCAAACCAGACTTTACCTGTGCCTTGTATTCCTTCCTCTTCCTTGTTTTCATGCCTTGGCCTTTCTTGGGTTTTTGGCGGCGAGTAATTTTTATGGACTTTTTCGGAGGTGGTGTTGTTGTTTGAGGAGGACCGTTTTCAAGGTATTTCTTCATGTGGTCAGGACTCTCTACAGGTACCATGTTGTGAGTTCCATCATAAGTCCAGTTACCTTGTGGTTTGAGGGATGAGGTTTTAATAACCTCTGTATTGTTTTCTTTAAGGTAGATGAAGACTTCCTCACTGCTGTCTGAAGAATCTAGCTCCTCATAGCTGACCAGTTTTACTTTGCCATAAGGGTGAGAATGGTTAGAAGAAACTACAACCTCACTGGAATTACTTTCCATAGAAGACAAATAATTCAGCTTGTCTGCGTGTGTTGCATTTTCAATGCTGGAATTTGCTGAAACAGTCACAACTTCAGGAGAATTCTTTTGAAGTCCATGCTCATTAGAAGAGTTATTTCCATTGATGTCTGTGATGTTATCCACTAATCTAAAGCTGGTGACATGTCTGTCTGTTCTGCTGGTGTTTACCACCTCAGCCTGTAGCCCTGGTGTTGATAGTGTATGATTTGTTCCAAATCTTGACATGTTAACATGTCTTGTTGTGTTACCATCATCGTCCACACTTCTATTTAGTAACATGCTGTCATCAGAGACGTTTCCAGTGACAGTGTCGTTTAAAGTGTCGGCACTGGGTTTGGATTGAGGCACATCATAAAAAAACACATCTCCTCTTGAGAGTCGCTCCTCTGAGTCCTCAGCCATGACAATGTCCACAGACGTTTGGTTGTCACCAGGTAGAGTTAAGTTGTCTGAGATGGAGCTTGAATTTCCACTTCCTTGAATTTCCACTTCCTTAGTAGTGTCCAGTAGTTGCAGGGTTTGGTTTGTAGAGTCTTGTAACACTGCAGTTAGATTGGTGGCTTTCAGTGCAATGATTAGGTCATTTTCCTGCGATGCTGACGTAGAATTTATGGTGTGCGGAGATACATTTCCAGGCAGTGATGCAGTGGAATTGATTACTGTTTTGTTCACAGTGTCAGAAATAGATGCATTATCTGAACTGTGATTTGAAAATAAACTTTCATTCCCTAGTACAATATGTCCACTTAATAGTGTTGAGTTTATTGTTTGATACACATCAGAAACAACATCTGATGTACCATTTTTGTTTACATCTGTTTCATTATTGCTGATGCTGGGGTCATGAACCTCTGTAAGATTTGATGTCTTCTCTTCTTTCCACTTTATAATCTGTGTTTCATTTAATGCATCCGGCTTCAAATATAAGTTGGATTTGTTGTTTGCTTCCATGAAATCAAGGTGGATATTCGTATCACCGTCAGGTACATCGATAGCATCGTAATCAAGAAAAGACAAGTCCAGCTTCTCTACATATGAAGCACCGGATTGGTTTTTTAGGGACCTTAGACCCAACTCTTCTGCAAACATATCTGTGTAAACATCACTCTCCCTTGGTGTTTCTGGGACTTTTTTGGCAGCCTCTTCTTCCTTTTTGATCTCCTCTAAGGTTGGAGGTTTCCACACAGTGAATTCTTTGGTTGCTACCTCAGTGTCATACTCATACTGGTAGTCACGATAACATTCAACATCTCGAAACTTAACACGCATTCCTTTAGTTGTCTCATGGGTATTTAGGGAAGCCAGAAGCCAAATGCCTGGTCAAAGACAAGACATGTTCAAATATTTGTGAAGAACCCAGTGAATTAACAATCAGGACTCAACATTTGCCAAGAATCACTCACCAATGTTGTCCATGTACATAGTGATAGTTTCTCCACTCATGGGGTAAAGGGCCAGGAAGTCTTCTGTTCTCTCATTCAGCTCAAATGGATGGCCATAGAAAGTAACGGTCTGAATGTAGTTCTGTGCTCCAACACTGGACACATGCCAAGTTGGAACTTCCCCATTACAGAAGCCCAAGAGTGGTCCGCTCTCAAATGAGTAACCGTTGATTGCTGAAATGATACCAACATGATTAGTGGCAATACAGGTGAAGGCCTCATTATGCAAGAAATAAAGCATCATATGTTTCATATGCTTTAGTTGTTGTGCCCTTTTCCCTTCTATATTTACATGTGTTATTCTATCAGATTAGCACAGAAAGATTCATACTCGGCCTAAGAGTTGTAACTCTTCTGAAGGTTTCAACCTTCAACCTCCCTCTTATCTGATTAGCCTACATCTGAGAACACTGAGACCTTGGGAGCACCAACACACATTCCAAGTTCCATAATTCTTGATAGGAAACGGCAGCTTCTGAAATTTATTAAAGCATGTTTGAGCTGAAATTCAATCAAAATTGTAATTACCGTTTTAGGGAAGAAAATTGTGACCCACAGAAACATTTAGAATATTGAAATTGGGCTGCAAGGTGATCTCTTGGTTAGTTCTGATGCATATTTAGTAAATTATCTTCTCTTTATTAGAAATATTTTTATTCCACTGCCTAACAAGCTTCATAAGTCTGTCTAGGGCTGACACTCACTGTGCATGACATTGGACTTGTAAAACTCTGGGTCGTCTCTCCTGACTTTGGATCGATCACAATATTGGCGAATATTATCCTCCAGGTACCAGCTCCTGTTCTCATCGAACACAGCAAACATGGCGTGCTGCTCCTTGTCTGCTCTCAGCTGCAGAAACAAGCAAATACCGAAATGACTTCTGCTTCTGCTCACCTTCTTATACTTGTTTAACAAACATTTTACAGGTTAATCTTAAAATAATATGTCATCTTTCTCCAAAAGAATCAGTTCTACAAATACTTAGACAACACAAAACTACACACTGGACGTAGCTTTTGCGATCGGACATGTGTTCAACAGTGGTATCGCAGATTAAGGAACTTTGACTTTACTGATGAATCCCAACTTCTTCTTTCTGTTTAGGTATTCTAAACACCTTCTATGTCTTTTAGATGTGAAACCTTACCAGGAAAAAAAAATGTTTTTGATTACCTGCACATTTCTGGTATTGAGGGACTCCTTCTTGCAGATGAGGATCGGCCCTATCAATCCTGAAGCTATATCCCGTGGTATGTCCACTGCACTGTGGTACATTCGTGTAAGGCATTGGGAATCGTGATGTAACGGCTCATCCTCTGTTAGCACCTTCCACTCATAAGTGTATGTCTCGCCTGGCTGGACGCTGTGAGACTGGTTTCCTGGAAAAAGCCACAGAAACACAGAAATCCACCGTTTTCTTTTATCAGATTAGAGTAACCCCAAACACGTTTAATCAATTTGCTTTTGAGTGATAGGACATAAGTACCTCCTTCTGGGTAGTTGACTCCCTCCTGTGACTTTTCTATCATCAGTCCATGAGGGTAGATACTGTAGGGCCTGGAGGCCATGTTCTTAAAAACTATCTAGAAGACAAGGAGGATGAGTAAGGACACTGTCAGTAATCAGTCCGAACTGATTGCGCAATACACACATTCCTCTCTAATGTTGTGATATCATTATGTTTATGGCTAAAAAAAACAACACAAAATCTGCATTGCGAGCACTTCTTAAGATAAAATAAAATGAAAGTGTTTATATGGTCTTACCTTGATAATATCTCTGACTTGAGCTCTGATCACTGGGCCCAGTATACCCAGCTCATTTTTTCTCTGTTTGTCCTCTAACTTTTCGGTGAATGACTCATCTTTATACCGTGTGAACACCGCCTTTTTGTACCTTTGTCCAATACGTGTTGATGACTGTCTCAGATATTGGTGATGGAAATCTCTTTAAAAAAAAAACATTTAAAAAAAATTGATTATTAACTTTGACAAACCAACTAATAGAGCAACAGAGACACACATATTTGTTAGTATATCAAGTATAGTATATACTTGATATACTTGATATAAATCAATCAGATATTTTTTGTCGTCTTCGACAATATTGGCATATGTGTGAATAATTTGAAATGGTTTACTCATCCACGTGTTCTGGTGTGTTTGGTGAATAGTTCCAGATAACTTCCTCTGCAGCTATGTAGTATGTCCACTTAGAGCTTTTTCTTCTTTCTTCGATTGTCATCGTCCGCAGGGGTTTCTGAAATTCCTGGCACTCCTTCACATCCACAAACCCATGCATACCACCTGCGGTAGAGGCAAGTATTTTTTCAGTCAGTTCAGCCAAAAGAAAATATGTTTATAATCCATGATATCTCTGGAAATATACCTACTTTCCATGTGCTTGAAGGTGTGTGAGGAGAGCAGCCATCGGCCTGTGTAGAGTGCCACCAGGCTGGCCGTGGCAGAAGTTCCACTGATCAACCCCACGGACGATACCCTGTGACCCGTCTGAGTCAGCACCTGCCCATTCATGTGGATTGAGAATACCTCAGGCTCTGAGCTCATTCCCAACAGATGTAGGCTCACGGGGGCGTACGCACACACGCTGACATCTGGAAAACAAAATTGCGAGTCAGTTGGTGAACTTTACTTTTTTATGTTTTGCTTTGTCCACCTGTAATAGGCAGTGGCCGATTTCACTGATAGCATGTCATATGTGTTACAGTATGTACCAGCCAACCCATGTATGTATACAGACATCCCGTTCTTCTGTTTCCTTTTCTAACAAAAAGATTTTCTAGAATAAAGTTATTAGACTACAAAAACAGACTCACCAGGTAGCGATCCCTTCGTGTATCCGTTGATGGTATATTTTACATGGTTGTCTGCAGCATCACTATTTGGAGCGTACATGCTCTCTTTCTCATCAAAAACCCCAAAGAGAAACACTTGCTCACTGACACCAATCTGCTTCCCCGACTCATCCAAACTTCCTGAAAAGAAGAAAAAGAAGAAAAAAACATCTGTATCTAGAACCAATATTCTTTTTTTTCTTTTTTTTTTTACATATTTGACTACTTACCAGCTTTGCATATGAGCAGAGTACCAATGAGGCCTGAGTTGTAGTCTTCTACCACATTTTGATGGGAGATGTAGGTATAGGTGAGGCAGTTGGGGTCCTCTGCCTGGGGAGCAACCTCTGGTGTCACCTCCCAGTAGTAAACATGTTCCTGCTCAGGGAAGACTAGATCATCTTCTTTTTCTTTCTGGGAAGTGTTGTCAAAGTAGTAAGCTCCTATGAAAAAACAAAAAACAAACATCCAGTTTGCCTGTGGACTAAACCTGTCTGCATTACAGATGAGGAAATGATTAGAAACAACATTTTAAAATTAGTCAGATTAGTTAGATTCCACAGCTGTGCAAAGGTCTGGGAAATTTATTGACAAAACTAAATCTGCTTACACAATCCCTAAAGTTTTTTAACCAAACATTTCCTGCAAGCTGTTTTTTGAACGAATGTTTCCTGTGTGATAGGATGCTGGATTAAGTAAAAATTAAGGAACGCTAAACTTTAATTTCCTTTTATTCAATGAAAAGGCTTTTCTCTGACAATGATTTCCCAAGGTTTGGCAACATTTTCTGTTGGACTTCAGAACTGTCTGTTTTTATAATCGGCCAGTCCTAGTTAATATTTTAGTAGAGAACAAACAACACTGTTTGTTGTGTTGGTCAATGTTGAGTAATTATTGCAGTGAGTAACATGGTGTGCACCCACAGTGACCCTATCAGACAGAGAAGCAACATCTGTGCGTGCAGAGAATCTGCCTCGTGGTGAGCGGCGCTCACCCTCAGATTGTTTCCCGTAGGCCACCCCGTGTGGGTGGATGCTGTACGTTCCCCTCGCCATGTTTCGGAAAGTGACGACAATCGTCTCCCCCACCTCAGCCCTCAAGGTGGGTCCAAGCAGACCTACAGAGAAAGACAGGTCACAGTTTAAATATACGTAATCCACAACAGTGCTGTACTGTTCTGTTCTGTTCTGTGGAACTACGCAGCAATCCAGATTGACTCAGTATTTCTGAGTAGCTCGGTTCTCACGGCGGTCAACTCAGAGTACAATTGACCAACACATATAATTTACCCATTAACTCATGTATCATCATAAAGAAATGTGCAAAAATACAGATAAACAATGTGTGCAGGCTTTCTGGAACAGTTTCATATCTAAAATGTAAAGGGTGACATGTTACCAAAATATAAAAACTCAAAATGCCTTTTCTGTTTCCTCCATCATTCTCTGCCTAAACATGTGAAGCATTGGTGAACATCCAGAGCTGCTTGAGAAGAGCTTAAATTATTTTTTTTCTCTGTTAGAAGGATGGATGAAGATGAGCTGTCAAGTGGTGTCCACATTCTATTTGGTCCTACCAGGTTACCCCTAGAAGAACTAAGTAAAGCCTCACAGTTTTTTATATGGCTGGGAGATGACTTTGAAAACAGAGAAAGTGATTCTTATCAAAGAAAGAGACAGAAAGCTCATGAAAACCTCCAGGAATAATTACCTAACCAGGATGGATGAGTCTTAGCCTGTTTGAAGTCTTTGTCATACTCCCGAAAGACCACTTTCTTGTAGGTTGAACTAAATCTGAGTAATAGTGGAAAAGTACAAAACACTGATCAGCACACAAATGTAAAACAAATAACCAACAAGCAGCTGAACTTCATACATTTCCTCATACGCAGTTGCATATGCTTTAACCAACATATGTTGGTGTCACAGTATATTGTAACTAACAAGTCTTTGTTTCTTATGAAGCTGATAACATGAATGAGGTACACACTGCTAAAGAAAAAACAAACAAGGACAAATGGACTGATGTCAAGACAAATAGGTTAAATGATTAAGTACGAGGAAAGATATCTGAAACAAACTTGGATGGAATTTATTTATATGAAACAACACACAAAAAAATAGATCTATTGTATAACAGTGATTAACATTTTCATATCCTAATTTGTTTTCTGAAATTTCCCACCTGTCCGTTTCATTGCCAGAGTAGTTCCAGTTTATTTCCACAGCAGCAATGTAGTAGTGTCTCTCCTTGGGTTGATCCTGGACTGCTTTAACACTTAGGAGCCTTACAAGAAGCAGCACAGTCAGGAGATGCAGCGCTCCCGCCCAGGGACAGAGCCTCATGTCTGGGATCGATCCTCCACTGGTAGTACTGGTAGTACTGGTAGTCTGTGAAGCTGTGATCCGACTGAGAGCTCTGCTCCTGTTTTATCTGTCACTGACGTGCTCACAGGCGCACACAGACACACACACACACACACACACACACACACACACCTTCAACGTTATGTCGCAGCGCAATGAACTGTGGCCCAGCTTGTTTTTTTTCTTCAGCTTATAACTGTAACCATATGTCTTTCCGTGAGTCATAACTGAGGTAATTTTCTATGTGACAAGACATTCATCCAGCCAAACCCCTGAAGAGTAAAATATTACTATGTGTTGTTGCGTAGTAGTTCTTGCAACAGACCTATGTTTACCATTTATATTTATGTGACTATTATGATCATTTATTGACTCATTTGTGAGCACCAAAACATTAAGTCTTACATACATGTCTGTCTATTTATCAATGTATCATCTTAATTATATTAGAGTCTCAAAATTTTCTTTGAAAGTTAGTCAATCTACTTTAGCAGCTTGAATTTTATCCAGGTTCTTTAGCTGGTTCATATATGCCTGAAAACCAAGATATTCGGCAACTATATAGACTTAGAATCCAGTAGTGTGACACTTTTCTCTTGGGTCAATTTCATTTTGGTTCACACTGTGCCCTCTTAGCTGACTGTCACGTCACAGCGGAAACACTCAGAAAAGCTTATCTGCTATTTATTTAAATTCAATGCATTTCTGCTGTGTCCCTTGGGACATTTGGAAATATTCCGTGCTGCAAGCTTCACCCAAAGATTCAGTGTGGTTACAAAAGTACTAACAGGCCTGTTTTAGAGTTGCTGTGGTTAGGGTTTATGACTATAGTTTACTAGGAATTCCATGAGCTTCAGTGCTGGGAACAGTACTCTTCACCTTGACTATAATTCACTTCATTTTTGCAATTATTCACTGCCAACACCTGCATTTATATTCCTGTTAATTTTAATTTGGAGTTTTGTTTCTCTATTCATGCCAGATGAAACATATCAGTATTCATCAACAATCAAGTCTTAAAGATAAAGAACTATAACTCAAGGTTCTGTGAAATTTACATGAGCCCAAAGAACATCTTTCTATTAACAAGTCTGAAATACATTGTTAAATTAAATAGTGTTGCCTAATTTTAAAATTTGGATAAATAATTCTAATAAAAAACTTGAGGGGGTGGTACGATGCTGGATTTTAAAAGTTAAAATAACATTTTTAATAAATATTTTCAGAGGTATTTGAGTAGTTTAGATTTTAAGGTTGAAAGGAATTGAATGAAGTGCCACTTTCAATTTGGGCAACCGTGTCCATGTGTTCCTCTAAAAAAGAGATAAGCTCTGGCCGTTATGTTTCCCTGATCCAGGACAGTACGTAGTTTACAATAGTACGTAGAAGATTACGTCAATACGTCATACGCACCAGCACGCATGTGCATGTTCAACTAGGAAGTGCTTTTGTTTACGGTGTAAAATGCGACAGCTGTGTCGTGAGAGAAAGAGGTCTTAATTGGTAGGTGGTTCTACTGTTTATTCATTTCCACGTTTTATTAGCAGCAGCTGTGGAACTGTGTTGTAATAGAAACTAAATATGAGCTGTTCTTACCTGGAAATGGAATGCGTGAGAAGCTAATGATGCTGAATTAGCTTCGAGCTCAGTCATGAATGTTCAGCGGAATATTTTTACTTCATTTAGTGACTGTGCCTTGTCTGTCTTTGTCATTTATAAACCAAATTATTATTATTTTTTACATCTTTTCAAGGCCAAAATTATCTCCCACAATTACTTCATCCTATCAAGACATTATAATTATTGCAAAGCACCTAAAACAGGATTTTGTAATTTTACCTAGATCATTTATCCCTAGCTTGGATAAAAAGGGGTGGGATATATGTGATTATTTGCACTTTCACTTTTAGTCTTGGTTTTCTATTGTCTATTAAAGTAAAGACAACCAAACACAGACTTTAGATATCAAAGATGAAGTCATATTAATATTTGTTGTATATTTGATGTGATCCAGCAGATTTGAGGACATCCCGGTCTGGCCCCAGACATGGTGTGCTGCCCCTCCTGCCCCGGGCTGTGTTCCCGCTCCTCAGCCTACACCCTGGCGCTCGGCGTGGGCTTTGTAACATTAGGGACGAGTCGCATCCTGCTGCTCAAATTCTCAGCCAATGCTGGTGAGTGACAAACAACAGATCCAATTTCCAGACCGGGATAAAACGATCACATAACCCTCTTCTCAAACTAGCTCAAAGTCTGAAAATGTGTGGAAATGTTTATGTGGTTTAGGTCTGCTCATACCAACAGTAACGTTTTGATGACTGTTCTGTTTCACTTTCAGAAAACAAGTATGACTTCCTTCCTGCTTCTGTCAACTTGATGGCCGAGGCGCTCAAACTCCTCTTCTGTCTGCTTATGTCAGTCAGGGTCATAGTTCGAGGTATATATGAAAACCTTTGAGTATTGCAGATGTAAGACCGGAGAATGGTGTGGTCATTTATGCTGTATGCTTTTCTAGTCAATTTTTTAATGCTCCACCAAAATAACGTGCACCATCTCTCTCATTTCTTACAATATTTCTCAGTTTTGGCTACATGGCTTTGCAGATGACGAAATTTTGGTGTGAGGATCATTGTTAGAGTAGACCCAAATACACACACACACACACACACACACGTTAGTCTGTTTTTTGTTTGTAATCATCAGGCTTACCTTTAGAAATATTCAGTGACGGGGATACTGGTGTTATGTGGTGGATGTTAAACGAAGAATCTGTGGTAATGACGGCAGCAATATGGCTATTTTCTTTTCATCCTAATCCTTAGAGGGACGATCGTGCAGAGATTTGGGATGCGCTTCCAGCTCCTCTTTCTTAATCTCACTGAAGTGGGCTGTCCCGGCATTCCTCTACTTTCTGGACAACCTCATCATCTTCTATGTGATGACGTACCTGCAGCCTGTAAGGCAACTCCAAATTCTGTCATCATTCTTATGTCATTTAGCTTATTTTGTCAAAACTTATTGTACCATCATATTGTTGTCTGAACTTATCATTTTTCAAAAATGTTTTAAAAATGGTGTTTGAGTCACTTAGAGCTTTGACTGTTTAATCTCAGAGCTTGTTGTTCCACTTGTTTCCAGGCCATGGCAGTGTTGTTCTCCAACTTTGTCATCCTGACCACAGCTGTGCTCTTTCGAATTGTTCTCAAGTAAGTAGCTCATTTCACAACAGTGTAATGCTCTTAGAGAGCAGACAGCGGTTCTGTACTTTTGCTGGTAGCCTGAGAGGTGTATATTTTTGGTTTAAAACAACCAAAGAGAAAGCCAAAATGGTCTGTTCTTTTTCTTTTTGCCGGACTTCACTTTGGGTCCATTTGTGTTTAACCAAATAATTTAGAAGACATTTTTTGTCTTCATGTGAAACATTGCTAAGTAATAAACCACTGTCTGTGTGACCTGTGTTGTATTTTTACACATTACTGCTATGTTAAAGATATTGAAATAATAAAACAGAATACGGTTCAAATTTCATCCTTCAGGAGACGTCTGTCTTGGGTTCAGTGGGCAGCATTGGTTGTACTCTTTCTGGCCATCGTTTCCTTGACAACGGGATCCGGAGGCAGCCAGAACTCCATAGCAGTGCCAGGCCTCCACTCAAACCCCCTCTCCAGGCCCTCCAACTCCTGCCTTCTCTACACACAGCTGCTGGAGCAGATGAGAAATAGCAGGTAACACCGATGTGTTCAACTTTGTTTGTTCCCAAATTAAGGGAGATATTGGCTAAGATGTGTTAACTACATTGTAAAAAATCATTACTGTGTGAATAATGAGCCTATGAATAGTCGTTCAGCCATGCTTTATCTTCCTTGTGGGTTGGGCTGTGACTTTTTGTAATAAGAGGTTAAACAGGGTCTTCTCTCCAGTCGTGCCTTGCATTTCCTTCCTCGTGAACTCATGGCATTCCCAGGCCAGGATCGATATTTCATGTCTAACCTGCAGCCTCCTCTTGGCACGTGTTGCCTGGAGAATTTCCTAAAGGAAATGCTGAGGTGATGTCCTAACCAGATACCCGATCCAGCTGAACAGGCCTGTTTAAATGAAAAGAATAGAATAAAAACAGCTGGTCGCTGACCTCAGAAATAAACTGGGCAAAGGAATGAAGATTCATCTAAACTAATCACATTCAGAATCCTGTTAGGACCACATCCTCCCCAGTCTTTTGTACACACCTGGTTTTATGCACCGGCTAATCAGTGAGATCCTGGTCTGTTGCAGTGCCTCTGAATCGTGGACGTCCTCGCTGCCTGGACAGGCCTGGAGGGACAGGATCGTGGGGAGGCTCCGCTCTCTGGGCGTGGGGCACATCTTGCTCCTCCTCCAGTGCTTCATCTCCGCCATGGCCAACATCTACAACGAGAAGATCCTCAAAGAAGGCGACCAGCTTACGGAGAGCATTTTCATTCAGAACAGCAAGCTGTGAGCAGCAGCGCGGCAGAATAGTCAAAAAGACGCGTGTTGGCATTCGTTAATGTGAGTCTGTGCTTGAATGTTTTTACAGGTATGCCTTTGGTGTGGTGTTTAATGGTATGACCCTTGGGCTTGGCACGGAGGCGCGAGGCCTCACCGTTCACTGCGGCCTCCTTCATGGACACAACATTTATTCCCTGGGCCTGGTGCTCGTCACTGGTGAGTAATAGTGGGAAAGGATAAAAATTAGATTAACGCTTATTATGTGAATAACGGAACATGATGTTCTATTCAATGTTTGTTTGTTTACCCTCTTTGATGACTGTTTGAGGCTCTTCAAAAGAGTTCTCGGTCATGATGCTGTGATTAAATACACGGACTGTGAATATGTTGTTGGGAATTTTTTAAAGCAGTAATGCAACTGACACCAATAATTATTCATAGTTGCAGTCACATGAAAAGAAAGCACACCCTCTTCCTGTTCTCGGATGGATTATCCATTTAAAGATTTAATGAGGGTGTTGTTGTTTTTTCACATGACGGGTATTTTTGTGTCAATAACTGTTGAAAAATGATGCTCTGTACCAGAAACCAATTCCATCCCGGTGGAGTAGAATCATTGAGTTTGCCCATATGATAAGCCAACAACATAGAATTATACTGAACTCCCCTCTCTGTCTTCTCCACCAGCTGCCCTGGGTTTATCTGTGGCCTTCATCTTAAAGTTCAGAGACAACATGTTCCATGTGCTGACCGGCCAGATCACCACCGTTCTGGTCACCGGGCTCTCCCTCTTCCTGTTCGACTTCCGCCCGTCGCTGGACTTCTTCCTGCAGGCGCCCATGGTCCTCCTGGCCATCTTCATCTACAACGCCAGCCGGCCCAAAGACCTGGAGTACAGCCTGCAGCAGGCCAAGCTGCGGGTCATTAACGGAGAGGTGTTCGAGAGGTCCAGAGGGGTGAGCGGCAAACCGAGAACCTTCATTTCTCTCTCTCTGTTGCACTCGCTGAACCCGAACATATAGCTGCTTCCTCTCTGCCGACACACACACACACACACCAGGTCCTCAGTGGGAAACGCGGCTCTTATTTCTCCTTTAATGTGATTTTCTCTTTACATTTATTTTCTTCAGTGCAGGAGGGAGCCGAATTCCCTGCAATCAAAACAGTATCCAGACTCCCACTGACACACTGTAGTTCCCATAATTCCGTTAGTAGTTAAGTGGATTTTGAAAGTGGAAACGGTTGTGCAGATCTCAGTGGAGCAGTACCTCAGCTCCACGTCCCTCACTTTTGCAGGTGAAACGTACGCTAGCAGATGCGTTCTTGTTTTCTTTGGTAGCCTGCTAACCAGAGCAAACATCGGGTCAGCAGCGGGCCTTAAAATGCAAAGCATTTCCCCCCCCCCGTCTCTGTTCGGAAAGCAAAGCGCATATGTGTGAAATACTTCAGCGTCTGCAGGTCTGGATTTTTTTCCCGTCCCCGCCGCTGTGCTGACGTGCTCTTCGCGTTTGCAGGACGGCGAGGAGCTGGAGCTCTTGGCAAAGACGAACACAGACAGCGAATCCGAGGAGGAGTCGTCGTAGATTGGACCCCCGCCCGAACAGACGGACGTAACTGCTGCTAGCTCCGAGCTGCTCAGACTTCAGCTCCGCGCAGCCCGGTGAAAGGCTCCCTGCCAGAGCATTTGTTTCAATTGTCAAGCGGGTGAGCGGGGGAAAGACAGCGGCTGACGTGCCGCGCGAGGCCCCGGTGTATGTGTCAAAAAATGTGCCTCTCAGTGTGCGACTGCTGTCGTTTATGTGGTGACAGAAGAGCCAGTAAAAAAACGTGCGTGTGCGCGGGGAGATAACTCGCGCTGCTCCTGTCGTTTTTGGATCATTCAGAGTTTCTGTTCCAGAGGGATTTTCTTGTAACGATTCCAATATATGCTGCTATTTGTCGTCTGAGTGGTGCCCACGTTTCTGCCAAAACTCTCACTGGCTTTTTGAAATGTGGCAATGTCTGATGTTTTTAAAAAAAAGGGAGCACAAATCCACAAGTTTTAGATTATAAAACATTAATGTAAATGTACAGAACACATTACCAAGTGTTTACACAAATTTCAGGACTTTTTTTGGTGAATGTGTGTGTGATTGCAGAAATGTGTATCTCAACTTTTAGAAACCTCAGTTAGTAAATATTGTAGAGGATCTAGGATTAAAGTGTTCTTACGCACAAAAGCCAATTATAAATTGCATTTGTAATAAAAGTGCTGAGAGGAATCAGCATCATATCCTGCACCACGGCTCAGTGGTCTATGTGCTTTTCAGTATGACATCAGGCTGTATCCATAATATCAGTATTATCTGATTCCATTTGCTTTCTCTGTGAAGTCATGATGGCAGTGTGAATTTCTCCTCTTTTCCACACTTCATTATCAAAAATCTAAAAAACGAATTCCGGTCTCTGCAGAAATGAGCTGCAGTGCACATCTAGACATACATTTTATTTCTAAACTTGTTTGGAAGGATTTTGTTTGCAATGTGTGGCTTTATGGTGCATATAAATAATGAAAAATATATTTCTGTTCAATGTAGATTGGAATAGTATAATTTTATCTTTTAAAAAGTTTTCATTCTGTATTCTTAACATGGAAAGGAGATTAAATGTTTTCCATTTTAAAACCGAGCACAAAAATGGCTTTCCTGCATCCTGCTTGTGAACAGCTGCAGTTCCACATCTGAGCAGGATTTTTTCTGGCCCGATCACTTTTTTTCCCCCTGCCGGCTCAGATGGTGGGAAATGCGATGTGGAGAAAGTGCCAATGTCATAAACACAAGCACAAATCCTACATATGGTCTGAATGTTTATCATAAAGGGAACCAACTAAAGGCCATGTGAGGTTTTCTCTTTTTTCTTTCTACAACCTCTCCTTAGTTCACCTCCTGCCATCATGCTCAATCTATAACATTATCAGGTTGTAGATTGAATTTGAGGTCCCTGATGTGTGAGAATTGACATAATGGTCCAGTAAAACACAAACTGCTCTTTTTTATGTGGCCTTGGATGTGATGTTGTAATGTGAAATATGACATTTCTCTTAAAATGATTAAACAAAAACATGCATCAATGGCAGTTGTGGAATGATTTTTGCTGCTCTCCGCCAAAAAATGAGCTGAGATTCTGCACTTTGCATTTAGAAACGTTTATGTAATTATGGAACTAAAGAAATTGAGATGGTTTTTATTTTTACTCCGGTTTACAGTTAACGTTTCTCCAGTCTCAATCGTTAAATGACCAAAATGTGAAGTGTTTCTCTTGACCACCTTATAAAATCCCCTCTAGAGGGAGATATAGCTCAAAAGATTATTGAAATGGATTTGACATTAATATGTTAAAATATATTGTGTATAGCAGGCAATGCAGGTAGTTTACACAAGTTTATACGTCATTATTACCAATAAAGTATAAATAAGAACATTAAAGAACAATAAAGACTTTACAAGAATTAATGTGACAGCTTTTTATAAAAGGAGCCGTAATTGCACTTCAAAGGCGACAGATGTCCAATAAATACATCTTATTTGAGCTCATTATCTACAAAATGAAGGTCTTCTGATGATCTTAATACGTCAATTTGACCTGGGAGGCAAGTGGGAATGACAGATGATACAAAAGCAGGTTGGAGTTGGAAAAATGGCAAAGCACAAAACTAAAAGTACAAAACAAATCCCTGATCCCCCAAACTCACCTACTTGTCGACTGCCTAACCAGTTCTGATTCAAAGCTCCCTTCAGCCTACCGTCACTCGCAGCCTATCGTACAATGAGCTGTATATGGAAGAATCGAGTGGGTGAAAGCAGTTCTGTGACTTCCACTAAGTGCTACAAACATTCAAGGAGCTCCCTCCATCTGCGAGGACTGTTGGGTGGAGGATGGGTAGGAAAGACGAAGAGATGTAATGGATCGCAATAAGACAACTAAAGACGAGCGTGCTACTCTCAGTAACCGTAACCCTGGTGATACCCGTCCTGATAGCCGTGCTCGTATCCGTGCTGGTGGTAGCCGTAGCCGCCGTATTCGTCCTCGGGACACCGCATGCCGAGCGACTGCTGGATGGCCATTTCCTGCCTGCGCAGCTGCATGGAGTCCACCAAGTCATAGATATTCGCCATGGACCACATGGGCGAGGGGTACCAGGACTTGACGTTGCCGTCCTTCCCCACCAGCAGCATGGAGAAGTATTCCGGGCTGATTTGGAAGTAGTTCCTCATGTCCTTCACGAGCGTGGCTGAGAGGCCTTCCCGTTCCACCGTGGCACTGCCTGGATGGAGAACGGGTTGGGTTTAGGGCTATAGAAGACATTTTTTCACAGTGGAAAACACAGCCGCATTTCCTGTTTGGAAGGTGCTTTGACATTTACGGCAATCTCCCCCTCGCTGAACTCGGATACCAGAGAAGGCAACACCTCAATCTGCTGGCAGCAGCTGTGGATTCTACAGGGTTGCACAAGCCTGACTCACACTTTCCAGAAAAGTAACAGCTTGATACAATGTTCTTTTGACCAAGAACTATGCGAGCGAGATATCGTATCGATCGGGAGTGGGATGCAGAAACGACGGTCTCTGTAGGTTTTCCGTCTTGGGAAACAAGAGTCTATCTGAGTCAAGACTGATTCATAACTCGAACAAAAACATCCTTATGAAAAGGATGATAATGAAGGGCATGTTTGAAGAAGAGAGGGGTGTACAGTGAAGTGAGATGAATGGATTAGTGACTCATGTTTCATCTAAAATCAGTCACAAAAGCGTCTTTTAAGCCAACTAGATCATGATGCTGAACACATGACCTGTCCCGATTAAGGTTACGTTCAGAGTTTCTGATGAACTGGCTGTAAAAAGCTTCCCTCTTTCACAGATACTTTTCTTGATGGGATCCCTCAGAGCAACATCAGACTGGAACAATCTTCAGGGACTGGATATATTTCAGACCGTTGCTGAATACTAATCAGTCTTTATCTCAACCGCAAGTTGAGGCAATACTGGTGAAATGTTCCCATTTGGAGCTGTAGGTGTCACAGGATTGTTTTTTAAGACTGAACCCAATGGCAGAAAAAACTGTATTACCTTTAAATAAAATTAATTGATTAAGAGAGTTTAAAATTCAACTGTGGTTCCAGGCCACAAATGCACCACGGACCTAAAATAACTGCATTTCACTCCTCATTCATGACCACATTACTGTACTAAATTATATACATTACAGGGTCAGTCCAGAGTCGATTTATTTAGTAAAAACATACCCTTTTGACATTAACAACCTGTTTATTTGCAAGTAAATGAATGAATGCATTGACGTTTTTCTGGTCTGGTTTCCTGTGACCCACCCCTCTGGTTTCAGTGTTTAACAAAAGGAGGTCTTCAGAGAAGAAAAACAGACACAAGACTGCGTGCTTGCTATAGATATGTTCCACCGATTTTTTATGAGAATTCTTACCATTAATGGGGTATAGTTCCAGGACTCCGCCCATATCTGGAGCCTCTGTGCCAACCAGCTTCATGATGGCGATGTGCCTCAGACCTGTGACAAAACACAGCTCACATGAGAAACATACAAGAACAAGACGCATTGTGCTATATTCAGCCTAACTCTTTCTCATCCACCAGGCGTTCTGCTGATCTGAGCTCATTTCTCTGCACTTGTTTATTATTGGAACCATCCAAAAGCGTTGGCTTTCAAGGTACAGGGAGGGGAGTGCGGTGGTGGTCCAGTGACTCCGGCCAAGAAGCTGTTTCCTCTAAAGCAAGAAAGCCCACATTAAACACAGGAGAAGACTGTTTTTACTTGATCAGAGCCAAGTGCTGAATACCAGGAACAAACCTCCCAGGCCCTCCCGGCCCAGTCAGCAGGAACAAATCTTCATGTGTATAAATGTACATTTTTGTTGTTGATGGCCACGCTGGAATTCATCAGAAGGATTTTGACCTGCTGCTGAAGGTTAAAACAGGCTTTTTCAGCAGTAAATTACAACATTTAAGGTTTTACACTGCTCCAGGTGTGACATCATGGCTCTAAGAGGTCCCACATTATAAAGTCCAGTCCTCTCAAAGAGGATCTTAAAACTCAAACCATAGAAAGGGTTAGGATTATTTCTGAATAAACCTCAAAGACACAATTGAAACCATAAACATTAGATTGTATGAATGATGTAATAAAACCATCTAAACTTCTATATACATATCTTTGGGTATTTAACATTGTAACTATTTTAGTTTGTTTAGCTACATAAACAAATAAACTGGGAACTGATCCTTTAAAGCATAGCCCGAAGACAAAGAGATTATAGGGAGAAATGATTAAATAGGTTGTCTCTAATGTAGTGGGTTGTGGGAACTATTTAACTGAATGACCCGTCAATCATTATAAATGTGCCTTGTCATACTGTCATTTTGGTACATTTAACCAGAAAACTGCAAGTGCAAGAAAGCACTGAAGAGATGTATAATTTCCACAATACTGGAGGAAAATTCCAGCTCATAAAATTTTCCCAGAGGTTTGAATGGACGGCTGTTGGACTCCCCTGAACTCAAGAGGACGAGGCACTGTTGACGTCACTGTTATTTGGTTTCAAAACCTTTGGCAACAATCGTGCTCTGAAAATTTTAAGTAGGTGTCTGGAAGCCGCATCTGCCAGCTGGTAGTTTTTCCGTCTTCAAACCAGCTTTAGAAGTTCTTTCCCAGCATGGTGTCCAGGAAGCATCTTCACAAATGCCTGTGGAACTTCTTGATGACCTCATTAACAGTGGAAGTCATTATAAGCTGCACTGAAACCTTTTGTTTTAACAAAAATACGTTCATTCAGGCATACATAAACAGCAAAAAACAAAACAAAAGTGTCCGTATTCATGATTTATCATCATGAGACTAAAAGCAGAAAAAGCCACAGAAAAATGTCAGAATTCACGTAAACAACTCTGAAGCATGAGGATCAAGTGGGGTAGAAAGTCCAGATGAGAGAATCTATTTAGTTTCACTGAGAGGTGAAGTTATGTGCAGTTTATTTCAAGTTCGCATTCATCTCCCATTAATCTGTCAGAGACGTCGGATTGTTGAGATTCACAAAGTTCACACGAATGAGGCTTTTTAATAGATGCAGTAATAACTTTTATGCAATGGTGGAAAAGTTGACTAACCGGTCATCTTAGAAGGGGAAAGAAATGAAGTCGAGTTTGCCTGAAAAGAGTTCTTTGCCTGTTCCGTCACCTGGGATCTGTCTTTGAAATATATCTGCAGCACTGACGACAACCCATAACCGAAGAATAACCGATTCACTTTTTTTCAAAACAGGTTAAAAAAAACACCTCAAGCTACTCTTTTCAAAACGGACTCCATGTAACTTTTCCCATTGCTTATTTCGGGATAGTCCACGATCCAAAACTTCTTCTTTTGTCCCTTTCTCACACTAGAATTAGTCTCAAATTCATTGTAGAACTTGAATTTTCTTAATATATTCTGTGGGACACATAAAATGAGGTTGAAAACAATAAAAATGGCTTATTTGACAATCGTGAAATCCAACCAAAGCTGGGTGAACTTACTCTCCCCCGCCTTAAATATTTTCCCAGCAGTGAATAACATTTCAGAACAATTGCTTCTTTTGGATTATTCCTGATGTTGATCCTCTTTATCTCACCTGAGACCCCCAGAGCGGCAAACTGAAGCAAATTCGTAAACTCGTAAAGGTGTACATAATTGCTCGGCAGCCCCTTAGCATTTTAATTCCTACAAAAAGTCTTTGGTCTGGTTTATTTTTCCGTTCGCGTCAGGTGACTCACCCAGATTGCAGGCCTGGCTGTTCAGGGCATAAAGCTGCTGCTGGTAGGACCACTCCTCGTCGTTCGGGGCAGAGATGATAAACAGACGACGTCTCCATCGGAACCTGCAATCACAGAAAATTTCAGCCCCTGAATTTAAGTGGCGCTTTTGTTGCGGCCGTGAAAGCTCCGCGCCAAGACCGGCAGTTTGCGCCTGTGCTCTACATATTCCCCGTACAATTACTGCCAGAGGGTGACAACCCCGAATTATGGTCAAAAACCTGCCAGATCGCAACACCCTTCCAGTGAAATTCTCCACGGTCTCCATGGAAACAAAAGATGGCCTGTCTGCAAGAGGCATCTCGTGAAAATGTGTGTGACAGCACTGATTCAGGCTTAAAAAAAAATGCGGGGCTTTGTGTTACTTTTAATCTCTGTGGTACACACACACACACACACAAACAGGACGCTCCTATCTGCCAAACATCACTCATAATCACCATCAATTCTGGTCCAGCTGATTTCTGAGCCAAGCAACAGATGTTTGACACACCTAGAAAAAGCCTGAATCAGCCATAAAATGACATTTTATCCATATAAATTACGATTAATCAGAGAGTCATGAAGATAAAAAAAATGTAATTTGCTTTTCCATACTGCCGACACTTCTACTGAGAAACAAAAGTTCTTTAAAGGGACACACTTCAGTGTTTTTACCTGGTTATGTTTTGATTGTGACTTTTAAAATAATGATAATTGTCTATAAATCCCTCCCAGGGAGGCAGGTTTACCATGCGGTGCCATGGATACAGCACCTTTACCAGCAACCCCACCTGGACAGGAAGTTCTCCAGTGACCGGGGCTTGTCCTCCTTCTTGCACACGACCCCATCCCTCTTCTGCTGCTCCATCTCTCGGATGCGGGAGGAGAAGGTGTCCACGTAGTCGAACACAGCCTTCATGGCGATTGGAACCTCATAGGATTGCTAACAGGGAAAAGAAAGAAAAACGACATCAAAAAGAGCCAGTCGTGCGCTTTTTGTGTGGTTAAACCACAGAGGGCATCAATCACTAGATACAAAAGCCCCGTCACACCGCAGTCATTCTAAACTAGAATTCCAAGCCACGAGTTTATGAATGTGGCGTGGGTTTCGCAGTCGTTTCTGCGAAACGGCAACGGGCACATTGCTCAAACATGACATCTTTGTTATTTACAAAATATCGAGCACATGTATGAAAATGTGAACACGCTCGCACCCTTCCGTGGGATTCGCCGAAGTTACTGCACAGCCTGTTCCCTTTCACACCTCTCCTTCCACTGTGCTCCGGCCTTTTTTCTGTCTCCTCCGCACACACACACCCACACCCACACCCGCGAACACTCACAGACTCCCCTGTCTCTGCTCCTGTCAGCAGAGGATGTGAACACTGGGCTCTTTGATGGATTTGTCCAAAAAACAGCTTGTTGATTTATACTGGCACACGCACACACACACACACACACACACACACACACAGCTGTCGGGCAAACGTCACGCACTGTGAATTAAAACAGTGTTTCGGGGGCCGAGCCACTGTGTTGGCAATGCGAGCACAGGTTACCTTAAAAATAGAAAAGAAACGAGGCCAAACTAAGCAGCAGCCACATGAATCAGGACGGAAAAAGTGAAGCCAACGTCAAATAAAAAATATCATCGGGGGGGTGACTTCCAAGTATCAACATCTCTCGCTGAAAATATGGCCATCGAATGCTTGTTCAGATATATCTGTCCAACAGCTTTAAACTTAACATCTATATTTACTGTATTTACATTAAGATCAACGAGTTACTGGTTGGATTTGGAGTGTACTGTGGCCTTAATTCTGAAACATAACACTTATAAAACAGTGTTATGCAAAAGATCATTCGTGGAAAGATTATAAGGGTAATAACAGACATGGGACCTTTGAGGATACTACCCCAGTGATAAGTCTTGGAACTCTGATGATACGATTAGGTTGTCTTTTTTCTGAGTTTGCAATTATGATGAATCTGTATTCACTCGCTGTACTTTTTCCAAGTAAATCAGGAAAGACGGCCTTGTTTATACCTGTCAGTGTCCATTTTCAGTTTTTCTACCTTCACTACTGTCACAGTTGCTTTAGAATTGACCTTTTAACAAGTTCCTTTGGTCAAAATGTAAAATTGGGGAAAACAAGTCCCTACCTTGACTCTCATATCGGTGTCAGTGAGGACCATGTAGAACTCATCAAACATCATTCCAAACTCGTTCCTCAGCTCGGTGATCAGGTCTTGGTTTACTAAGTCCTCCTGACGGAGACCCTTCATAGGCTTATCATTCTCTGGAGAAAGGAAAAAGAAAGTAGACACATTTAGTGACACTTTTTTGGCATTTATTATTTAGGGCATTTAGACAAGTGCTGAATTGCTGTCATGTTATTCTTTAAAAGAAGAAAAAAAAAAGGGAAATCTGACAACACATTGCCCATTAGACTCTGACAATTGTCATATCAAAGACTCTGACATTACTGCTACAACATCACATAACTGTCAGAGTTCTTAAAGAAAACAGCACCTGCAATTATTTTCCCATTGAATAAATCATAATAGGAGCAATTCCTGCTTTCCAAATCTGATTTAAGAACAATGTTCTCTTGACAAAAGTTGTTTGATATGACAGCGTGTAAGCATACTATGCCGTAAAGAGCGGGATGGAAACTTCAGAGGGACAAACTCGACACAGAGCAGCTTTTATTCAGCGTGATCTGGCTGGATTGGGTGCATGGCAAATGTACTGTAGCTGGCATTTGTACAGACCAGTCGCAAAAGCCTTTAATCACCCCTCCCTCCACGGATGTGTGCACAACACTCAAACCGCAGAACGGTGAATTTTGGTGGCTGGCTCGCCCCGTTCCCCGCTATGTATTCCGCATGAAAAATCGCATCACGAAAACCCGACAAAAACTCAAGAGTGAAGACAGAAATGCACAGCAAACACACTTGAATATCTCCTGCTGTCACGCCAACTGTGGCGTTAGGGGGGACGGGGGGGGGGGGCATCACAGAAAGAGGATGTTGTGTGTTCACAATGTTTCCCATCACCCAGACTACACTGATTAGCCTCAATGCTACTACTTGCCGATTCATAGGCCTGTACAGTAACCTAAACCCAACCACTGAGGGAGTTTTTGTGCCAAGATTTTGGAAATGACATCATCAGGACATGATTTTTCTTCCCAAATGGAGTCATGTTACCACAACCGGGATGCGTAAACACAATTGTGTCTGAACAACGTGAGCGATGCAAGTAATGCTACACACACACTGACCGTTCAGACAGTGAGTGGAACAAAAGCGTAGCAGAGCTGGACCGTGGGTGGAGGCGGATGATGTCAGCTGGGCTTTTTTTTCTTTCCTTTTTTTGCATCTGGATAAAACCTCAGACTTATAAAAAGGGGTTTGCCCGTCATGACGCTGAAACGCACTGACCAAAGCCTGGGGTTTGAGAAAAGCCATAAAAGCTTTTCAAAATTGTCAACGTTTGGCTGCCAAACACGAATGATGTAGCGGGGCTCGTAAAAACACCAGCGGTTCCATTGATTTCAGCAAGCTGCAAGTGTTTTCATAATGATGAGCGAGCATTGGGTTGATGATTTAACCATCCAGCTTGTCTCTAAGCCCCCAGGAGGGAGTCTTACCCCCTTGGTCAGAATTATGCATAAGGTGTTACACACTCCTCCCGACATAGTAGTCATAGTACTGAAGACTTGGTTACTACACAAAAAAAATCTTAACAAAACAAAATTAAAGTAGACTCAATTAAATTAGATGCTGATCAGTTTTTCTACGGACTAAATTTGTTTGCGAAATATAGATAAATCTGGAAGTTGATACAACGTAAAGTAAGAAAAGATGACCCGGCTGGTCTGTCTGTGTGAAACATCAGGAAGAGGAGAAGCAACCAAAATGTTGTGTTACACAATTGTGGAAGGAGATTCCTCTTAAAAGTACATTAGTTTCCACTTGTACGAAAGATGTTTAGAAAGTATTTTAAAAGGAGGCTGGTGATTCACAAAAACAACTTTCTCTGAGTGGTATCAAAGTGTGATATATTGTGATGTCAAATATTTTACTAAAATTAAACTGACTGAGAATCAGCCATTGTGTTAAAATGAATGAAAACAGATTTTTAGTAGAATCAAAAATAATCAAAATAAAAAATTAATAAAAAAATATATATATAACACATATTCAAATAACTACTTGTTAAAGTTACCTACACAATGACTGGTTTACAAATTCACAGCTGCACAACACACAACAAAGTCGATTTATTTTTGTGCTAATGATTATGACCATAGAGATACTTACCTATCTGATAGTGATCAATTTTCATGGTGGAGTTGGTCAGGGAGCCAAAGATGGTTATGATAGAGACTTTCCTAATGGCCATTTCACACACGGATTCGAGGTACTCATCCCTCTGCTGAACATACATGCTGTTTTCCTCACTGGGGGACGTTATCAGCTGCAGGAAAAGGAGCCATGGGTATCATGAATAGTCAACAAAACGCATACACACACAGTTTGCTGCAGGGCTGAGGTTTACATTGACCTGTACGTGGAGGAGGGAGCTTATTTTCTCAGCCTGCCTGTAGCAGGGCTGTGATAAGAATCTGTGCCGGTTGCAAAACAGAGACATACAGTCTGTTAGCATGCTGCTGCATGGCTCTCCATTGGCAGGGGGTTCCACCAATGGTATTTCATGACACTTGAATAAATGCGATTTTAAGGAACACCATCACAGATTTCTTTTTTTTTTAAATTGCCTTCTGTGTGCAGTTTTGCTTTTTATCTTTCACCTGCAAAAATAAGGGACTCAGTGCCACATCAATGTGTGCTTAGCCTTGGGGCTGTTAACTCTAAGCAAAAAAAAATTATTTGAAACACCCAATTATAAGAATAATCTTGTATAAATGTAGTGTGGATGAATACCTATGCAGAAACATTGAGCTGGTATTTCAGTGAGGTTCTGCATTAAGGCTAATATAGCTAAATGTGCTAAAGCTAGATGGCGCTCATAAAATTGTGTTTGGTCCGAAAGCGTTTTTGGTGTAAAATTCTGAATACTTTCAAACGCTATTTATTTTCAATCAGTTTTGTATAGGACCATTTTAGTTACAATTCAATTGGATTTCTCCGAGGAAGTTAGCAGGGTACGAAGCAGATCAAACTGATTTCAGAGCACCCTCTGCTGTATCAGAAGGCAATCTACTTCTAGATAGCCAGATATGTGGGTTCATTGTGGGTTCTCCAGATTCCTTCCACAGTTTAAAAACGTGTATGTTTGGTTACTCGTATCCGAATTGAATAAGTCTGGCTGAAGAGACAAGAACAGATCGGCTTAATTCTAAAATGCAAATATCAAGCTCTCACCAGAAGTCGCCTCCTGTTCTCAAAGTAATCCAGAAAAGAGGCCAGAGAGCCCTTTGGAGGAGGTGTTGGCTTTTTAGTGGGCTTCAGGTAGTCCTCTTTCTCTGGGAACTTTGATGTCTTTTTTCCATTTTTCTTCCCACCGATCTTCCCTCCTCTCCTCTCAGCTTTCTTGGCAGCCTTGTCACTCTTCTTCTTCTTCTTGTCATGCTTATCATGCTTGTTTTTGCCTTTTTTGGTGGAGCTGATATCAGGGAAGGTTTCAGTGTCCTCTGGATCGCTCACAGTTGGCTTGCTGGGCTCATACTTGTCCTCATACTCCTTAGTCAACATCTGAGCACAGAAAAATATGTTGTTCATCTCATTTTTATCAGGCAATAAATCCTTATGACGATATCAACACTGCTAACACTTAACTGTGGAGAAAATCAGTCATTAGGGATCAAACTAGAATAAAAACCCAGAAGGCTGGAACAATTCCAATTTGTTATTTGAAAAAATATTGTAGTACACCATTTAAACTATTTCTTTTAAATATTGTGCCACTATTATAATTGGAAGCAAGACCATGCAAAACACATGGATTTTATCAAACCTCTTCTAAAGGTTCAGTAGGCTCGTATAAATCAAGCAGTACTAGCAAACCGGTGTGAATTTTACATAGTATTCCTTTGATTTACCTTCTCCTGTCCATTCTTTTTCTTGGTCGGCTTGATCTTGGAGGGTTTATGGGTGACAGGAACCAGCTTCTTGCCGTGCGGATATCTGTTGTCCTTGTCGGTGTGGTTGTCTCCTGCCGGGGTGGTCTTAGCCGGGTACCTCTCCCTGAGGTAGTTGGGGTCAGCGGTGGTTCTCTGAGCTGGGAGCCACTGCGCTGTGGTCGGGGCTCGGGTCGTTCTCTGAGTGGTGGTGGGTCTTTTTGTGGTGGTGGTGGTGGTTCTTCTGGTGGTGGTAGTGGTGGGTCTGGTGGTAGTGGTGGGTCTGGTTGTCGTTGTTGCTTTGGTTGTCATCGTAGTCGTTGGTTGGGTGGTAGTCGTCGTAGTGGTGGTTGTAGTCGTTGTGGTTGGTGGTGGAGTTGTTTTGAGGGTGGTTGTGGCCGCTGTTGTCGAGCCCTGTGCTGGCTTTCTCTGAATCTTAACGATTTTTCTTTCTGCAAAAGATGTTCGGCACACGCACGTCATGCCAAGATCGCCTTTAAGATATTTTTAGTCATGAAAAATTACATGGAGGAATCTTGCCAGGCTGGTGGAGCCAGTTACAGCTAAACCTGATTGGCATTCATCAGACAAATAAAAAAAAAGTAAACTTTATTTGACTAATAGAAATTTCAACATGCCATTAATCTTGTGCTTCTTCAAATATATTTTTGAAAGAAATACATCGAAATCCAACTTGAGTATTTGACTTAATAGGCACTCAGACTTTCTTGTACTTTAAGAAGGCGGTGATGTTGGCAGGCTTGCCATTAATTTAATGAAAAAAATAATTGTATTATCTTTAGTTTTGTGTTTGTCTCATTTTTGGCAATCTAGACCTGAAGTAATCCGGGGGGAAAAATAAGTCTGACGCTTCCAAGTCTTACAAACTTATCTTAAACACTTCCTGGAAACTACAAGCTGATTAGCTTGAACATGTTGACTCCAACGTGTGTGAATGCTGTGCGAGTGTTGAGAGGTGAAAGCAATAATAATAATAACAAAGTGTCACACTAAACTGGAAAAACATGAGAACTGTGGTAAATAATATAAGAATGCGTCCCCCATTTCTGACCATATACAAGCAAATACAAGAAATGGTTTCGAAGACCCTGCCAACAACACAACTGAATCAAAGTGAGACTCTACCTGCACCATGCGAGATGAATATATTTAAAAACCTCTCTCCAGAGAGCACATTCCCTCAAATCCCAACACATGACACGCCGGACAAAACTAACTCAGAAGAAAATGTGCAAAGAGATGTTACAGCTTGAAGTCCGAACTAACAAACCCATCTAAAAGTTGCTGGAAACACCATCGTGACCTTAGAAAAAAGAAAGAAATAAGAAACTCACCTGTGTAGGTGCCCTCCTCCACTTGACCCTCCACACCTGCTCCTCTACACTTTTGCACAAAGCCCTTCTGACGGAGCTTCTCCAGCTTCCTCATGGGTGACTGGTCGATGACCTCGTACATGGCCTCCAGTCTCACCGGGTAGGGATACTTTTCTTGAACCTGCAGGGTTTTCTTCAGGAGCACCATCCCGAACTTACCTGCAGGATGACACGAGAGCAGTTATTTGCGGATATGAAGGGGGATGATGTCCATCCACATGCCGCTCTACTCACCTTTCTCCAGTTTGAGGAAGCTCATGAGTCTGGGGATGAGCGCCGTGTCCAGGGGCTCCTCCATCACCTTCCCCTCCGTGGTGATCCTCCTCACCTTGCCTCCCATCTCCCCCTCCTGATGGAACATCACGATCTGGTGGACGTGCCTCTCGGCCAGCTCGCAGTACACGTCCGGCTTCAGGAGGGACATCATCAGGCGGTAGTAGCCGTCCGACTCGTGGGGCGCGGAGATCACCAGGACCCGGTTCTTCCCGGCGAAGCTGGCCAGCAGGTTGGGCGACCCGGCGCTGTTGGGCATCCGGGTGATCCTGGCCCTGGCCCCCGGGGTCCCCTCGTCTTGCTGCTGCCTGTCCGACAGGCGAGGCAACCCAATCTGTCCGGTCACCCCTCTCCTGGACGCCCAGGCCCTCCTGACCTGCGAAGGCCCCGTCCTGGTGGCAGCCGGAACGCCTTCGTCGGCCTGGACATCTTCCACCCTCTTGGGGCTGTGGACAGAGATGGCCGAGCTGAAGCCAGGGCGCATGCGCCTGGCGAAACGCTCCTTGTCCGCTGAGGGGGTTTGGATGCGTCTGCGCAGCTGCACCCGCTTCAGGTGCGCCTTTTTGTCGGCTTCCGTCCAGGTCAGCAGATAAACCACGGCTAAAACTGCGACGAACGCCCTCATTATGGGGGAAAGAGACGTCAAACCGCGCTGGCTGAAACACTCTCGATCCTGGATGACGATCCAGTTGTGGAGCTTCAATCCGGCGTTTTAGAGCATTTGATGAGGCTCAATTAATTCCAGATGAAGACATACGGGTGCGCAGGATCGCAAAAAAATACAGCTTTCAAAGCATTCCTCGTGCAAATGGGGGGGAAATCCACACGATCTGCTGTTGATTTGAAAAACAAGGTCAGAAGGAGAAGAAAGTTTATTGCGCGCGGAGTTAAATCCAAAACTTCATTCTCTCAGGACTTCCGTTCACAGGTTTAACGGGAGGGCAGCAGAGTGTATCACCATTTTACGCAAAAAAACACCCAGAGCCGAATCATTCCTTTAAAAAAAAACTGGCTCCTTCTGGAGAGGGTTTCAGACCGCGTCAGATCGAATAAAAGGAAAAAAGACGCTGTCTTCACCTCATTAACTAATTAACTTTCCACTAATCCGCCGCCATTGTTTAATTCCAGCGGACTGTGCGAGGATCCTCTGGGCGCAGGAGGGAAGAAGTCAGTGGGAAGCTCGCAAAAACCTTTTCTTCGCTGGTACTGCAAAGGGGGGGAAGAAAAAAGTGTCTCTCCCTCTTCCCAGGTTCCCCCTTTGGCAAATGTGAGCTTTGGAGGCTTTCCCAGAACTGTCCACACACACAAACCTCAGCCTCCGGACTCTTGGCGACACAATGTCAGGACCTGCCCCGGACTGACTGTTCGCTCAGCAACACCCACTTATCTCCTCAGATGGTGAGAAGGGATCTCTCTGAAAAAGGGTTTTCCTTGTATTAAAGTATACGAATCGAAAAGTCTTATTGCAATAAAAAGAAATGTATATCGAGGAAAGAGGGGATGTTTTTGGTAGGCTTCCCCAGAAGAGAATTTTTTCAAGTTTCTCCTTTAAAGCAAAGAGTGAGACCACCCCAAAGCATACTTTTTTCTGGGAGGTTGCTGTTCCTTGATTTTAGGAAGCAGAAAATGTGAAAAAAAGCAACTTGAAGAGAAGCAATGTGCAAAAGTCGAAGGTTAAAAAGTGAAAGCTGAAAATGCACATTAATTGTTCTGAACTTAAAATAACATAAAGAGCCTGTTTGCTCTTAAACGACTCTGAAGACTTAGTCTTTTTCCATTTCCTCTATGAAAGGTTCCCAATTTGGCTCCTAATTAAGGCCTTAAGGAAAAGCAAACCACTGAGTCAAAGCCACATCCACTCATAGCAAAGGCATACCTTACTATGCACGTGCCAGCCGACAACTGCTGTACAGGGAAAATTACGTTTTATTGAAGATTTGTTACTTTCATTCACTTCTTACGAGCTAAATATCAATGACATGGTGCAAAACTAGATTTAAAGCATCCAAAAATGACTGATCCTTTGATAGAATGAACCCCGTTTGGGAATGTTTTATGAGTAAAAAGAATCCTGAATTCCCCTGAGTGGTCTCACTGTAAAGTAAACCAACCACTCTGCACACACCCAGTCTGGCTGTCTCAGCTGAGCAACTTTTCACCATTAGACCACATGCTTTCTGTTCTTTCTTTTCTCCAAAACTGCCAACAGGAGAAAAAGACGTCACCTGTTTATCTACACCATCTTATGAAAACACATAAAAAATAAAGAAAAACCAAAAAAATAACAACCGGAGTCCTTCTTTCCTGGACACTGGCTTTCTCTTACAATTCAAACCATCATGTTAGTTGGACTGGTGACTCTAAACTGACGAGAGGAGTGAGTGTGAGCACGCATGGTTGAGTTTGTGTCAGCCCTACAATAGACCACCGACCGGTGACAGATCCTGCATGTCTGGAAGATAAAGTGGCTACTGGGCATAAAAGCCATGTTAAGATCAACTGGTTAAGCAAATATATCCAAGCCTTAAACAATTTGTTCCATGTCTTCCCCAATTCCAAAAGAAGGTAATCCATAATAGTGTATTCATTCCAACTCTGTGTTTGAGGTCTTATCTCTAACCAGGTGCTGGAAATGTTGCCCTGACTGTGAACTTTTAACCCTAATTCAGTTCATCTATTTATTTTCTTTTCACTTTTATAATCGCACATAAGGATAAAGTTTTCACTGTGTGGAAATGTATGTCTAGGTGTGTAGGTCAGACGTATGTATGCTTTTTTTATGTTGAATGAGCACTTGTGGAGCAAAATGGTCTCAGATTGTGGTCTCATGATAAATACAAGCCATTATATGAACATCATCCTTAAAAAAAGAACAAGAACGACATTTGAGTCACGACAGCAAAACAGAAATCATAAAATTTCAGAAAATATAAAGTTTCACAAAACTTAACCGCAAAACCAGAAAAAATCCAAACACAAAATGTAACCACAAACATGCCAACAATTCCCAAAACAACTAATTAGAATACACATAATCTTTGGTTTTCTAAATTATGGTTTTCTTGTGGTTTTCTGAATTATGATTGATTAGATTTATGATTTTTTTCTCCATTTCCTATTGTCATACACATGATAAAGAGCTGCTTCAGGTCTGACAGTATTCCCCCTGAAGACGGGATTGTTTAACTCATGAGAAGAAAAGAATCATGATCCTTTTTCTGATAGCCTGCGCTGTACTTTATTGTGCTGGAAGTTTCAAACAGGGCGATAGCTGCATATATTCTTTTCAGAGTGTCCACAGACGTCTCCATGATTCACTCTGTAATTATACTTAGTCTGAGAAATCCCCACAGTCCTCAAATCATTCTGAGGACTGCCAGCTGGATGTCTGACTTTCATCCACATGGTTCTTTATTACAGACCTTTCTTCCATTCAGACAAATGTCCATCAAACATAAAGCAACAGTCACAGTGATGAGGGAACGTCAGAGAAGAGCTTTATGCTATATTTAAAACATATGCCGGGTTATAAACACTCGCTCTACAACCAGCCAGTCTTTTGAAGGATGCCTTTCTTCATCCTCTGATGTTCACAACTTGATTTGTTTAACTTAATCTGTCGGATTATGTGTATCTTACTTCAGTGAGTTCGTGTTCAATAATGCGCTGATACCGAGCGGAAAAAAAAAGACAGCGACCAAAGAAAAACCTCAAAAGAAATTCAGAAAGCCTGGAGAACTATTTTTCAGGACACCTTCAAAAGAGTTTAAAAAACTCTGGTTGTTGGAAGCTGCCTGGAATACCGTATATAGAAAAAGAAAACAAGGAATAACTGACGAAAACTACAGAAAATTCAATTTGTGCATGGGGACAAAAACAGTAGACATAACGTTGTGTGTGTGTGTGTGTTGTTTAGTACATGTAATATGGAACAGAGCAAGACAGATTCCACACAATACCGAAGAATTAAGTCAAACATAAGCTCCAGTTTAACATCCCACACAAAGATTACGGCCATCTGTGTGTCACATGTTCCGTCTGAAGACTCCCTATGAGGGACGTAACATGTTTGAAACTTCACTGGCATCTTGGGATATCTCTGTGATCCAGAGCTCAAAAGGTCCCCGACAATTCTCGTGTGCCTTATAAAACGGTGAGCGGCGTGCTGGTGAGTGGCAGCCCGCTACATCTGTAGTTTTAAAACCAGCGGGGGTGGGTGGGGGGGGTTCACTGGACCTGACTAGACTTCCCACTTCTTCTTCTTCTTCCTTAAAAAGTTCAATATGTGAAATCAGGAGCACAACTGTCACTAATGAGGGGAAAAAACCTGTTCACCAGCTGTTTTTCAAAGATATCGCAAACATGGACGCCGCTCCGCCCCCCCCCCACCCCCCGGCCTTGACAGAAATACGAGCATCCCTCCACGATGACATTATGGCCCCTGTGAATTTTTGTTGACGCAGCTCATCCACTCGCATGGGCAGCGTTCATAAACACGCTGACCTTTCACCTCGCTTGTCGGCTTCCAGCTTCCTCTCTCCTTTAATAGCCCACTGGCAGGTCGGTGAGAAGGAAAACGGTTACACGTTACGCACATCTGACCGTAAATGGGTTACGGCACAGACAAAAGTCACTTTGAGTAGATACAAATTCTTGACAAGTGGGAAAAACGAGGAGAGCAACAAAAGGGGTCTTCAGAGAGTCCGCGTTCAGCTGGTAGCACCTGAAAGAAAAAAGGATCTGGTTGGAGATAACTGGTACTTATGTAACCACGATAAGCTAACGATTCACATATGGCATCAATTACAGAACGAGAGCGGGAGGGAAACAAAAAATATGTGGCGGAGCAGCAAGTTGCCAGTCAGATGTGAGGGGGAGCGACTTGATCTTTGTTTCACGTCTCAGTCAGTCTTATTTTCTGTTCTTTTTAATAGACATTATTCATTTTTTGTGCATATATGACTACAATTGTGCAATTTTTCTGTATATATTTGTTCTGTGTGACTTTGGGTGTGGGGTTTTGCCTTAAGCGTAGAGTCCACTATCCCCTGGCGTGCACACCTTGTGCAAACAGTTTAAATCAGAGGCCAGTAAAGACTGTGGGATTGTTGTATTTCTTCCAGTATCTGAAGTTGTGTTGTTGAGGGAAAAGTAGAGAAAGTGCAGCGCTCCTAAGGTAAAAAATCCAAACTAGCACACAACAATACACAGTGTCCTGACCAAAGCCACATCATTTATGAGAGCACAGGCTGAAACAAAATCATTCAAAACCAAAGCGATGTACTATAAAACGAGAACAATACATTACGGCCAAGCCTCAGTGCAGCTGTATGAGACCAACTTCTACACACACTTATTTTTAAGTGTCTTTGCCCACTTTGACTTCTGTCTTTAATCACAGAAAAGTGAATCTAAAAGACCAACGACAGCACAAACACGACCAAGAGTAGCCGGTATAAACACGTGAATTATGAGACAAGCGGCAGCAAAATGCTGTGACATGGAAACAATTCTTTTTGAGGTAGATCGGAGATGTTTTTGATCCAGATGAAATCATCCGTCCATTTCCAAACTGCCATCAATTCCCCCTTCTTAATCCACTGCAGGTACGCGCAGGAAAACTGTAACTGCATTCTACGACACATTGGGTTAATTAGGATTCTTTTCAGTTTTCATCCTGTTTTGTTTTGATGCTCATGCAACATTCGGCTAAAATGGGTTTACATGGTGTCCCCTGTGCTGAGATTCTCAGTTGATTTTTAATGGAACCCTGAGGTCTGCTTAAAATCCTTCATGTCTGGCTCAAGTTTTCAACTATCCGATAAATTATTTGGTTATGTTTCAATTTATCAGTCATAATAAAAGCTTTTCATCCACAACATTCACTAATAAGTTTCAACAATGATTTATTATCACTGATTTATTTTATCATCTGACATGCAGTCAGTATCAATCATACATTTTATTGTTTTATATGACAACATTGGCTGTTTAAGTCCAGTTTTGATGGCATGGATATGATCAGTGAAGATGATTTAATCAGAAATGCAACATAAACTGGGCTGTAGTGGGTTTTTAGGTGCCAAGTTCCTAAATCTATCAATTTTATCTAACTTTCATTTAGTCTGATATTTAGGGCACAAATTTACCTCTTTGTTGTCTGCTAAATGCATATGTACATTGTTTAATTTGCAGCCATTCAGCGGCTGTCAACGAGTTAAAGCCATGACCCGGTATGTTGTTACCAGTTTTATGTCACTTTATGATCCATTCTTTAGAGAATAAACAAGAACTTTGTCCATGTCTTATCTATTTTTCTAATGATATTTTATGTTCTCCTTCTTCGTTTATCGATGCTTTTCGTCTTATTTCTGCTTCAACTTGACCAAAACCTCCACAGAAACATCTAATACATCTAATTTTTCAAGTC